ATGTTTGAACTATTTTTGCACAGAAAAAAGTACAAAGCAGTGAAAATCATTAATAGGCAACCGTTGGATGGGATCAATTGCACAAAACGCATGATCGCAGCGGCTAGTCTGGTACGCGTTGCTATTTATTCCTTTTGCAACGTGTAATTCTTAAAGCTGAAGTCCAAAAAAAAAGAAGCTCGGGAAACAACAAACTGTTAAATTATAAGTATTTAAGGGACCAGCATGACAGCCCCATCTATCTTCTTGTTTATCATCTTCATTCTTACGTTCGCCTCAGCTCCTTTCAGACTTGCTCTTCTTCATTAGTCGCCGTTAGATGGGACAGAGTCGCATGAAAGTTTTAAAGCACTGAGCTGCATTGCAGAGAAATCCTGAGTCATATTGACTGTAAAGTGACCTTTTACTGTTTGTTAAGATATTTTCATGATTTGATGTGATGCTTAAATATATGGCAGTGCAAAATGATTTTGAAAGTGCGTTTCACTTGAAAAAAAAGCCGACCATCCTCTTTGTTGAATTAGCTGCCCATTTTTCGCTTACTGATAGTAAAAAAACAAAATTTTCGAATTTTTCACTTTTTACGTCTGCTTCAAAACTGTGGCAGAGTTTTGCACTTTTCAGTATAACGAAGACACTCTGCCATCCCATCAAAAAAAAAGATAACTTTTCAGAGAGGAAGGACAGCAAGGAAGAAACTGACTTGCAGAATTCAAATGCGTCGAAGGATGGGACAGAAATAGCACTCATTTGCAAAACTGCTGAAGCTGATAGAGGCAATGAGTTGAAGGTTCGCTTTAAAATTACTTCCTCGGTAACAAAGATTATGCTTTGTAACTTAGAACTGTGCAAATAAAGGTAATAATAAGGCGAAATATGATGGTAATTTTAGGACCGTTCCGTGCAGTTTTTGTTTGACCTGAAAAATTTCTTTGACCTTAAAAATAATCACTGTGGAGAAGCGATAGCCGTTCAGATTGAGGCAAATAGCGTGAAGTATGTCGGTACTGTCCTCGGCACGGAGGGAATTAACCTTTTCGAATTGACTGTAAACACAGGAACCAGCAGCTGAATCATGGCAATTACTGTTAAGCACTAACTGTATGGTATGCAGAACCTACGCGCAGAAGACACTACTACCGTAAGGAAGAGATTTTTGGAATTTCCCTGACGCACCTTCATTTTTTTTCTAACATGTACTGCTTTTGTTCGCAAGCGCCTCAGAGCCTCTGTTAAATTTCTGTCGCTGAGCATGACGATTTGCTGAAATTCTTTTTTTTCCTCATGAGAATTGCTTAATCTTTTCATGCAAGGGTAGGAGGAGGAGGAGAGGTGGACTTTTATAGCTAGGACAAGCAGTGCTTTGCAGGATCTTTTAAGTTATGCATAATGTGTTATTCAGTTGAAGTTTGAAATTATTTTTTTTAACAGATACACCAGAATACTTGTTTTTTTTTTGGCTTCCATTATATAGGCTTGTAGGTTGCCTTGACCGTCTTTTTAGCACCCTCTCCG